GGAAAACAATTAGATAGGCGAATGTTTATCAACAGAACAGAAGAACCTGGCATCCAAGTGCCTAGAGAGCAATGCAAATGAAGGACAAGGCTTTAGTTTTAGTTTCCCTAATTTAAAAACAAAAAACAAAAAAACAGCTGTAGAGAGATATAATTCACATGGAACATCAAAGAGACCCAGAAATGATGGAACTAAGATTTTCAGAAGGCAGGAGTGAAGCACAGGAGGAAAACAAGGTATACTCAGGAAACTTCTTTTCTCACCTGGCACCAGATGAACCAAGTACAGCAGAGGGTCAGGATAAATCAGGATACTCCAAACAGGGACTGGGTGAAAATCTGCCCAGGAGTTCTGAGACCCACGCCCCTCCTTGGATCCCAAATGCTGAGAGGCAGGTTCTTTCCAGCAGGAGATCAGCAGATCTTCTGAAATTGGCCCAGGTAGGTGGGGTGGGGGTGGGGGTTCCTAAAAACACCTTTGGGATCCTGCATTTATCTTATCACCACATCTTATCAGCTTTTTAATACCTGATTCTTAAATGCCAGCAACTTGAAAGAGGTGTCACCAAGACAAAAGGAGCAAAGGAACTCAGAGAAATTAAGGACAGACCAGGAAGCTAAAAATACTTCAGAAAATACCTTAATATCTTCAGTGTGGCAAAAGATGATACCTTACCCATAAAACAAGAACCGCAGGTTATTATAAACTTGAAATAACTATTGGTAACTATAAGGGGCAAAGGATAATGCTGAGGAAATATCCCAGAATGTAACAAGATAAATCACTAGAAAATAGGAAATTTTTAAATGGCAGATAATCTAGGGAGTCCAACAGTCAAAGAATAAGAATTCCAGAAAGATAACAACAGAAAAAACAGAAGATAGGTGCTTAAAAAATATGATATAAAAAATGATCCCAAGACTGAGGACATGTGGCTCAAGACTGAAATAGCCCATCAAGGACCCAGCAGAATGAGTGCCCAAGCATGGCGGTGAAGGTTTGAGTGCACTGAGCGAAAAAACTAGTCACTTGTCAGTCTTAAAAATCAGAAGGACACTGGATTTCTCAACTTTCCTTAGAATTTAAAAGACCCGAAGCAATCTTTAAATTCAAGAGAAGAGTTATTTCATTCTCTTGTTAGCCAATCCCTTAATCAAATATGAAGGCATAATACTGCCATTTTTAAGTTAAAAAAACCCCTCCCATATCAAGCTGTTCTCAAGGAACTACCAGAGGATGTACTTCACAAAAATGACAGCAGAGACCCTGTAATCCCAGTAATCTGGGAGGCTGAGGTAGGCAGATTGCAATTTGGAGCTCAGCCTGGGCAACTTAACGAGACATTGTCTCAAAATAAAAAATAAAAAGAGATGTAGTTCAATGCAAAGTTCAATTCCCAGTAGCATGCGCGCGCGCACACACACACACACACACACACACACACAAACACACAATGTAAACTGTGGAAGAGGCAGACTCGGGATTCTGAGAAAGGGTTCTGTGATCTGTGATCCAACATGGAAACTCCTAGGAAAGACCCAGGGAAAGTCTTAGGATAGCTAGTCCTGTTTGGAGCAGGAGGATGGAGGCTCTGGGCATAATGTTTCCAGAAAGGAATGGACTCAAAATATTTCCTGATAAGTTTGATCAAGAAAGTATGAGAGGAATTTTATAGTTTTATTGGAAGGGAGTTAGTTATAAAGTGTAAAAAACATGAAATGGAAATATGCTAGTTCAGCTATAAATGAATAATAGTAACAAAGTAATAAGTAGGTAAATGGATAGTGATTTAACTAAAAGCTGTAATACAACATTGGTAGGGAGGGGAAGGAGAGGAGGTCTGAGTGCTAAACTGTTACTACTGTCATACACAGATAACAGACCACACCTAAAACTGATAATGTTATTTAGAAACATGAACATAAATGCCAGAAGAAACAGCTAAACAGGTTGCAGTAGGCTATCTCTGGGGAGATGTACTCAGGTAAAAGTTTAGGAGAGAGGACTGATTTTTTAAAAATTATAAACTATGATAATATACACATACACATATTATACATTATATATATGATTATATATAAATATATATTATATATTTTACAAACCAGGTATGGTGGTGCATGCCTGTGATCCCAGCTGCCCTGGAGCCTGAGGCAGGAGGATTGCAACCCTGAGGGTAACCTGGACAACTTAGTGAGAGTCTGTCTTGGAGTAAAACTTTAAAAAGGACATAGTATTTATCTCAATGGTAGAGTGCTTGCCTGCCATTACAAGGCCCTGGGCTCAATCTCTAGTACCAAAAGATTTTTTTTTACAAATTATCTTAAGCTATAATATGTCCATAAACTTGACCAAATTTATCCACATTTTTGTACTAGAGTGAACTAAGAATAGAAACAAAATGTTTAGACACACCAAATCTCAGCCTCCAGGAAATGATAACTTTATAACAGGCCAAGGAAGAAATGTTCAATTTAGAAAAGAAAAAAAACACTACTTTTCAAAACCTAGCCAAGTTATTCTTTTTTTTTTTATTGGTACATTTTAGGTATACAGTATGTTTACATTTATCATTGGGTGCTTGTACCTGTACATGATGTATCTTGGTTCTTATTTTTTCCCCATTACCTGTGC